ATTGAGTTTGAACCAAAGATTCCCTAGGTTTAAATCATCTGGTTTACCGGGGTAGTTATGATGAATAAAATCATTTTAACCAGAATTTGTAACGCCTTTTCCTCTATCGATACCTTCAATGGAATCCAAGTGGTCTTCTATTACTTTTTGAAGTTGAAACACAATCAAATCATTTCTGTAAATTTTGAAGAGCTGCTCATACGGTGTTATAAAACAGAAATGTGTGCTGCCTCTTCAGAGTTGTTTTTAAACCGACAAGAGTGTACATCGTATATAGTATTGTATTTTAGCCTACTTTTATTGGGAGTGATGTGGGTTATGCAGTTTTAGAAAACTATCCATCACTGTAATAGTGCCTGCTGTAATAGTCACCGTTTTAATATCGTAGAATGTAATATAGTCCACTGAAATATCGTCCGTTGTCATATCGGTCCACTGTAATAGTCTCCACTGTAATATCCTCTACTCTAATAGTCTCCTCTGTAATATTCCCTGCTATAATAGTCTCCACTCTAATATCATTCAGTGTAATATCCTTAACTGTAATATCAAATGTTGTAATAGTCTCAACTGTAATATCCTTTACTGTAATAGTTTCCACTGTAATACCGTCCGCTGTTATTTGTCTACTGTAATATCATCCACTGTAACATCCTCTACTGTAATATCCTTCACTGCAATATCCTTTACTGTAATAGCGCCTGTTGTAATAGTCGCCGTTGTAATATCGTAGGCTGTAATATAGTCCACTGAAATATCGTCCGCTGTCATATCGTCCACTGTAATATCGTCCATTGTAATAGTCTCAACTGTAATATCCTTTACTGTAGTAGTTTCCACTGTACTATCGTCCGCTGTAATGTTGTCTATTGTAACATCCACCACTGTAACATCCTCTACTGTAATAGTCTCCACTGTTATATCCTTCACTATAATATTGTCCGCTGTAATATTCTCTGCTGTAATAGTCGCCACTGTTTTATCCTTCACTGTTATATTCTCCGCTATAATACTAGTAGCCTCCAGTGTTATAGTCTCCCCGATTTCTAGAAAATTACAGATAAGAGTTTCCTGAAGTTTGTGGTGTGAACGGGCTTTACCATGTGAGTCGTTTTCAAATGTTTGACTCATCAACTTTCAGTTTACCAATACCTATATTTTCTACACATAATGGTCATGCATGAAATTCATTTAATCGTCACATTATTCTAGGGAATTACAAAAAAGAGCTTCTTCAAATTTATTGTCAGGCTTCATGTGGAAATGCTGTACCCTGTGATATGTTTTCACATTCATTGCGCATCAACCTCATGTTAACCAAATTCCTAAAGCGAGCAGTTTACTTGTTGCTTTTAATTGTATGAACAATATCGCACGCTTCGTCAACGTATAACTTGAAACATCTTGTACACCATCGTTATCGCCATTTCGTTCGAAAAACTGCATTCAAATTGTCAAAAAATGAAAAAAAGTATTTACATTTAACTATTTTTGCGAATACCACTCAACGCTCTAGATTGGGACTTGGTGCAATTAAAAAGCTAATAATGTGCAATTTGAACTTATTCCATTTTATTCAAAAAAATAACCGTATTGTTATATATTTTAATTGCATAAATGATTCCAGTTTAACAAATATTTTTGATAGAATTATGACTATCTTTCGAACAAGATGACGTTTGTCTTCAATTTTATAATGATGTTGGACTGCTTTTCTATAACTGTTTTTCTAATTCCTTAAAGTGCATGAAATACATGTCCAGACTAATGTCCGTTAGGCAAACAAAATTCAATAAATATCATGGCTTTTCGGGGCTACATGTACAATGCATATACTACAGTTGAAAATAGAAGTTTAAAAACATTGACATAGAATATGACCAGGTTATGAATATTAAGCCAGCGTTTACACGCTCTGTTGTTTCTCTTTTATTTATGAATAATTTTGTATTATGGTGACTTTGAGAACGAATATAAATATTTTGTTTATGACATTTATTCACTGAATAATTAAAGAACTAACAATAAGAAATTATTTTTTATTTGAAAAGCACCCTGTTCTTTAACATATGAATATATCTACAAACCTTGTTTGTGAACGCTGTAGCAACAGTGCATTGGTAACAATTTTGTTAATATTTAGATAAAAAAAAAGAGGGGGGACTATTTCGACTCATTTTGTAAATTTTAAAGTATAAAGTGTTGTCTTCTACAAGGGCTTATGGGGTTTGTAATTGAAAGACTTATTTCAATCATATTTGAATCGCACTCGCGTGGTCTGAAACTAGTCTTGTAAAATCGTAACTAACTTAACATCATTTTTCCTACATAATGATAAGTTAATATTATACATGCTCAGTAGTTCATTATTATTTTCTTAAGAAAAATAATGAGATATTTTTTTTTACGAAGGTTTTGTCAATATCAACTACTAGTAATAGATTCAGGTTTTGAGGAACTGCACCTGATGAGAAACTGTCGAGTTGGTTTGAATAATGGAAATGTGCAGCAATAACTAAGGAAATATTAACATTTTTTACGAAGAAAAAGTCAAGTATTTTCAATTATATATAAACCTTGTTTGTAAACGCTGTAGCAACAATGATTTGTAACAATTTTATTAATATTAAAACAAACACTGGTACTATTTTGACTCAATTTGTCAATTTTGAACTTCAACGGCTTTAGTTTTTCGTAATTGAAAGAATAATCTTAATCATAGTTTAATCGAATCGCACTCGTGTGGTGTAAAATAGTCATGTATGAATCGTTATCACTTTAACATCTTTTTTCTACATAATGTTAAGTTTATATCACAGTAGTTCCTTGTTTGTTAAAAACAAAAAATGTAAAATATCTTATTTTTGAATGTTTTTGTCAAAACAATCATACAGATTCAGTTTTGAGGAACTAAACCGTAAAACCTGACAAGGAACTGTTCAACCAGTTTGAATAATGGAAATATGTATCAATAACTGAGGAAATACTAACATTTTGTACAAGGAAAAAGATGTTTGTATTTTTAAGTATTACTCTTTAATTGTCTATTGATGAACACAAAACAATATTTTAAATAAAATAACATAAATTTACATTTCAACAGAAGATATACGTTATCCAAAGTATAAAACACAATATCTTTTTCTAGATTAAAGGACTAAATAACATCTTTTTTTAAGACTAGCAGTCTTTGCGAATAGGTAAGCATGGATAGAAATTATTACTTTAATTTATTGGCAGAGACAACGTTTGTTTAAGAAAGAAAATGATGATTAAGCCGAGGCTACGATAATGGCATAATATAAATTGTATTTTTTTCAGATAACTTTCAAGTCAAATTCTCCGCAATATCTGCAATGAACGGCATATGCCTTTATAATAAAAATCGTCAAGATGTAGCAAATAGGTACACTAACTGAATACCTTGGGTTCTTCCAAACGTATGAAATAGAAATATTGTTGAAATAAATTTAGAACCAGATAAGTTATAAAATGCATACTAGCATTCGTAAAAAAAATGGTTACTGCTTTAATTTCTGTGTCACTTAGACATGTACAACATCTCACGTTATGGATCTTTTTTAAGATCTACATAGTTTAATGCACGTCGAACTCAGGAGTTGCTTTGGTTAAATATTTTAAGTTCTGAATCCTTAGCCTTGTGTAAGCTTTAGTATCGACACAAGGTTAGCTATGCTCAATTTATTTTTAAAACTGAAATATATGTTCTACATTACCGATATATTACATTTCCTATTGCGTCTATAGATAGTCTGTAGATCTGACAGTGGCAGTTGAGCTTCACGTTTCATTCCGATCAATCTACTTTGCAAAACTAATATATTATATTTGATAATCAAATTTGCTCATGTCCATAATATGCCCGAAGTATTAGCCACTGGACATTATGCTAATAACAGTGATATTGAATAATTCTATAGCGATATCTATTAAGATTATTGAATTTCATGAAATTTACTTTAATAGACATCATCATTCCACCTTCAAATTGCTGTTTACAACTTCCCGAAAAGGGTTCGATGTGAATTCCGGTTAGGGGATTTTTTTCGAACAAAATATTATTGTTCACATGTTGCTTATCTATGTTTTTTCACGTTTATACCTCTAAAATTATTTGACGGGGTTCGTGTTATTCAGTTTTAAGTGGTTTATGTACTGTAGTGAACTTGTTTGTCTTTACGTCGTCTTTTTTTGGTTTGCCATGACGTTGTCAGTTTCTCTCGACATGAGTTTTGAATGTCTTCTTGATATCTTCCGCCTCTTGTTGAGCAATATATAAGGTGACCGCATACATGTATATACATTTATAAATAAGGAGACATGGCATAGTTCTCTATGAAACAACTATCCACCTGTGAGCAAATGAATCGGAATTAAAGACCAAAATACAGGTTTCATCAATGAGCAAATCTCATACCGTGAAGTCAGCTAATAAAAATACCGACTTGACAAAATGGATTAGTATTCAATTGAGAAAGAAAGACCTGGTTAGTTTTAAAACAATAACAGAAAATCCAACTGTATAAACAACAATGACAACTACCTCATTACAGGCTCATGACGCTAGCGATTGTGCTTTTACTTTAATTACATTCAACAATAATGTTCAAAACTATACGAATAGAAAAATAAGGTATACATTTGGAAATGGTTAAATTCATTGATTACAATGAAGAACTAAACTCTGTATAACTGATACTGTCCACTGTCGTCAACAAAAGACATGTTCCTTAACTATATGTCAGTATGATCAGGTTATAATCGTATAAAATACATTTAAAACTGATAAGAAATAAAAGGCATGAATAGTTATATGCATTGATTACAATAACATAAGGACTAAAAAAAAACCCTTTACTGATAATGCATACTGTGTCAACAAAAGACATGTGACTTGACTAGATGTCAGTATGATCATGTAACATCCGTATCTAATACAAGTTTGCTACATACATGTAGTTTTTATCATGTGCAGAGTAAAGATGAATCATAATGAGCATATTGATCCTACTGCAACTGATACAGTTCCACCAAATTTCCATCTGTCGCTGGGTGTTGACAAGCTCAAGATGTTTGCTGGAATACAACTTGGTATTGGTATTGCCTGTATGATTGTGTGTACCGTTGGACTAATCACAAATATGAACAGAAATGATTCGTGTTGTTATGATTATTCGTGCTCGGATCAATATTCATATAATTCCGATTATAGTCCGAACCGCAAATGCAGAGGTCGTACAACAATTATGATTTTATATGTGACCTGTTTATGCCTTTCTCTCTGGGTAGGTATAATTGGAACTATATAATCCGTCTTCATGCTGCGTTAGTAAAATCAATTTGTGACGGGTTAAACCAAGGTTTAGCGTAGTTCAAGTTTAAAGCACAGTACAGTTATCTCCTAAATATTCCTAATTTTACCAATGTAAGCGTTTGTGCAATGATTTTGAAAAATATGACCGTTACATTAAAGTAGACAGCAAAGATGACCAGCAAGTCAAGATCTACGAATAAGTCTAATGACTGCTATTATTTATCATCTCCATGGAGATATTGTAATTTCATTTTTAATTTAACCGATTACTTTTTTGTTGTTACTATTTCCTCTAAAGCACAATAAAGAAGGAAACAAATTAAACACCAAAGATGATCAGATACATTGTAAACCTAACATTTGTTTCTGTGATCTTGAAAAATATTCTTCGTATATAGAAACTTAACAAAAAACTTTAATATCTGATCTGAAAACAAATACCTGCAGATACATGTCAAAGTAACCAAAGATGTCTCATTACTTTTAAATAGACTATGCTACTCTGTTTGTATTTGGTAAGTTACGGTTTTTACCTTTTTACACTGTACGAGACAAAGAAAGTTTCAAAGCAATAACAATAAACAGGAAATTGTTTCGTTATCAAATTTTTCACAATTTTACCTAGTGAGTATACGTACAAATGCATATTTTTATTTCAGTATTTGTTAACAGGAATGATTCCACTTTGTATGACAGACTCCCGGAAACCCAGATGGAAATGTTTGGTATATATATGTTCTAAAGTCAGAATATATGCTTCTTGTAATTGTTGTTTACATTGGATTCTATTCCGATAATATCTAATAACAAATATAGTGTACTCAATTGTCTAAAGAACCCGGATGAGCTTTTGAAAACGTTTACGTAACTAGGATTATTTTATTTATATCAAATATAAAGCAATACTCAGTAAACCCTATTGACGGTTTGGAAAAAGTAAAAAAAAAAAAAAAAAAAAAAACCGAACTCCAAGGAAAATTCAAAACTGAGAGTGCCTTAACACATGGCAAAATCAAAAGCTTAAACTGATCAAACGAATGGAAAACAATCGTTATATTCCTAACTTGTTACAGGCATTTTCTGATGTAGAGAATGGTGCTTTAAACCTGGTTTTGTAGCTAACAGTTGCATAAAATTACATTATGTGTGACTTAAACAAACAGACATTATAGGCAAAAATGACAAAAAATATGGATTCTGCAGTGAAAATTGTACATGTATATAAACTCATCATAGATACCAGAATTGCAATGTTGTATTTGCGCCAGACGCGCGTTTCGTCTACAAAAGACTCACCAGTGACGCTCGAATAAAAAAAAGTTAAAAAGGCCAAATAAAGTACGAAGTTGAAGAGCATTGAGGACCAAAAATTCCTAAACGTTTTGCCAAATACAGCTACGGTAATCTATTCCTGAGGTAGAAAAGCCTTAGTACTTCAAAAATTCAAAGTATACGATACTATTAATCCCTATAAAACAAACAACCATGTCAACAAAGAGAACAAAAACAACAATCATTGATTCTCGTTAGACAATTTAACAATTGAATAATATTTTCTTCTGAAATTTTTATCTCTGATAAGTTTTAAACCACTAGTTTTATGATGGGACTCATTGCAAAGGTTTGGTTGTTACCGGGCTTCTGGGAATCAGTGGCTGTATATAAAACCTTTTAGACTTTTGTAGACCAAAAACATCATGTTAAGGTCATTGATATATGAAATTAATGATTGGGTATGTTCTTTGTTTACGTGCCGGCCTAATGTTTGTGTCAATTGAAAACTACTTTCAAATCTTAAGTTTAAATTATGTCATCGAACAATCTTCTATCACGTAGCACCATTTTTTTTTTTTTTTTTTTTTTTTTTTTTTTTTTGTATTTTTTTTTTTTTGTTTGTATTTTTTTGTTTGTTTCGTTTGTTGTGAATCATATTTGTAAGGAATGTTTAAGAGATTCCATATTGGACTACTATAAATTTCCTGCAAACAGTTTCCTTAAATATTACAGTGATTTCTCTTCTGTTATCTTTTCTAAATAAAGTATACAGATCACATACAAACAATGGTAATGTATGTATTCGAATTTCTCTTGGAGTTTCATTTGTATTGAATTGGTGCCACTTGATGCACAAAAAGTATGCATGCTATTTCTGATTATTATGTCAAGATATGTATATTCTCTAGAAAATAACGTTTTTGGTGTTCAGCATTATATCTGCAGTAGTGTTTTCTCCGGCGATGTTGAGTATTGGACTTCTCAGTATTTTTATCGTCACTGTAAGTAACTTAATATTGATACCACAAATAATAAGTGACATTTTTCTTGGAGCGGAAAACTAACCTTATAAAGTAAATAAACGTATCACTTATCCGAGAAATAAATAAAACTAACATCTATTAACATGCCTCTTAAACTAACAATCAGTTGGACCAATTATATGAGCGCAAAAAGTCTATGCTGTTACCTGAACTTGAATGACGTTCTATAACCGAAATAAAAGTAAATTTTAAAAGTAAACAGGCAATTAGAATTGATTCATTGAATGCATACAACAAAACTCATATGATTCAATATGACGGGAATACTTGATCATTTCGATATGTCTAAACAGTGTTTTTGTCGTCATTTATGTGGTGTTGTATAAACAAAACTATGTACCCTATAGTACAAATAGCTTAAGATCAAACGGCAAATAGGAGTGATACAGATGGTATCAATAAAGAAGCATGTTCTTGTCATTATAGGACCGAGTTTATATTTCTTTTAAAAAAATTGAGAACAGAAATGGGGAATGTGGCAAAGAGACACTAAACCGACCAGAGAGCAAAAACCAGCCAGAGGCCACTAATGGGTCTTCAACATAGAGAGAAAATACTGGACCTGGAGACGGGCTTCAGTTGGCCCCTCAACTAAAATGTATACTGGTCCAGCAAAAATAGACGTTACACTAAACTCCAAAACATATAAATGAACCAAAATTGAAAAAAAAGGCAAGAGGTTCCTGACTTGGGACATCCGTAAAACATGCGGTTTGGATCAACATATATTGTGAAATCTTAACCCTCCCGCTTCACCTCTAGCAAAAGTTGAATCATAATGAGCATATTGATCCTACTGCAACTGATACAGTTCCACCAAATTTCCATCTGTCGCTGGGTGTTGACAAGCTCAAGATGTTTGCTGGAATACAACTTGGTATTGGTATTGCCTGTATGATTGTGTGTACCGTTGGACTAATCACAAATATGAACAGAAATGATTCGTGTTGTTATGATTATTCGTGCTCGGATGAATATTCATATAATTCCGATTATAGTCCGAACCGCAAATGCAGAGGTCGTACAACAATTATGATTTTATATGTGACCTGTTTATGCCTTTCTCTCTGGGTAGGTATAATTGGAACTATATAATCCGTCTTCATGCTGCGTTAGTAAAATCAATTTGTGACGGGTTAAACCAAGGTTTAGCGTAGTTCAAGTTTAAAGCACAGTACAGTTATCTCCTAAATATTCCTAATTTTACATATAAATGAACCAAAATTGAAAAAAAAGGCAAGAGGTTCCTGACTTGGGACATCCGTAAAACATGCGGTTTGGATCAACATATATTGTGAAATCTTAACCCTCCCGCTTCACCTCTAGCAAAAGTTGAATAAACAAACACACAGCAACACGACAGTAAAACTCAATTAATAGAAGTCCGACTCCGAAATTAGAAAAGGCAACAGAAGAAACTAAGCAAAATGACAATAATCATCATTGATTCACAAATGCATTACTTTTCTTATCTTTGTGGTAAGTAGCTTTTAAAAAATAAAAAAAAAAAAACCTCATCAAAGTTATACGTCGTACAATTTTTTTCATAAACTCGTCATTGATACATGTACCAGAATTAAGATATTATACACCAGAAATACAAAAAGACTCATCAATGACGCTCAAATCCAAAAATCATAAGGACTAACAAAGAACGAAGTTGATGAGTATTTAGGAACTAAAATTTCAAATTGTAACTTACTGATTCAAAATCAAATGAATTGCTTCTATACTAACATTTAGAACATATTTATAGGGATATTAAGTTTGTAGTTAAATGAGTAAATATTTACGGTATTCCCTGTTTTATTTGTTTACCAAACCACATAGTTAGAAAAAGGGATATTGAATTCACAATGTCCGTCCATTTTTTTACTAAACTTATTTAAACCATTTAAACGAATTGCAACGTAGTTTGCCATGCAATTAGACAGTGATAGTTGGAACGAATGATCATTCATATTTGTCAGCCCCGGCTTTGCATATTTTGTTTGATATGTTGAATTAACTTAAAATGGTCTGTCACCCAATCTTCCGGTATTTTTAAACCACATCTATATATGGTCATCAGATTGTCTATGATTTGTTATAACGGGTAAAAAAAAATTTCGGATCTTTCCGACAAATACCTCCTTTTTTCAGACATTTTGAAGAACAAGTGGTTGTAAGTGTAGGGTAACTCAACTAGCATTCTGATTATCTTTGTGAGTTGTAAACAGTTTCTGTTGAATACTGTAATGTGTATGTTTTATCTTTTAGTTGGAAAACAACGGAGATATATTAACAGTGTCAGCAATCATCGACGCATGCGCCGTTATAGAAATGATAGTAGCCATTACGTCAGCCACATATTGTTGTTGCTGTTCACAAATGTTACCAGGCAATCAAGTCAGTAAAATTCATCTTTTTCGTCAATTTTCATGTAGGGTTTGGACAAAATTTACTGTTGATTTTTGCCCTGTCCTTTGCATTAAAACTAAACTTTATTATTACTTTTTTACATTTAGGCAATGGCCAACACTTTCTTTTTCATTTTTATTTGTGATAATGATTAAGTCTAAATATAAACAAAATGTGTGTTATAATTACTTATTCAAGACAAATGTATGAAAATTCGATAAAACAGAAGCTGCATACACCTAGCCAAAAATCAATCGTTTCTTTGTATGTGTGTAACATACATTAGTTATTTGAATTTTATACCCGTCGACGGTTGACATATGATTATATTTCTTGATTTTGTAGAGAGATATCTTAAACTGAGACATTTCTATTTGTCTTAAATGCAAATTAAAAACAAAAGTTGGTTTAGAAACACAGTTCCTAATTTGTTTAATTCTGATTTACGAATAACGACAAGAAAAGGAGAGTAGATTTACACGTTTTGTCTATTTCTTGTTATTTTGTCGGTAAACACCATAATTATAAATTTAGCCAACTTGTGAATAATTAAACATAAATCAGAAGGAGGGAGAAACATTTAACCCTGATTGTGAAATCGACCTATTATAATTTTACCAAAAATAAAATATTCCATTTCCAACGTTGACGCTTATCTTGGGAGTAATATGTATACTACAAGTAAAGTCCAGTTGATGCATTAAATATTTAATCTTAAAATTTAAATGATAAGTCTCGTACTAAATCAGAATTGAAACATAAGTTTCCGTTATTTGTTAGTCAGACTTAAACTTTATATTAATGGATTGATGAGTAAAAAGGGATGTACACCGCTTGTTTAAAATAAACGGACAAAGATTTGGTTTATACAATGGAAGTTCACTTGATGCAGTAAAATTTGTACCGGTAATGCTATTGTACGATTGTACGATGAAAACATGACATAATCATGTTAAAATCTGTTTTTATAAAGTTTAGCTTTATAATTCTAAATCATATAATTCATATATGCAAATGCGTTAATTACAAAGAGAGACGCAAGAATGTCAATACAATATCTTTTCTTCATAAATAAAGGAAATTATATTTTGTGTTTCTACATTAATAGGGAAATAAGTATCTTTTGTCATATCGATATTGCAACTCAGTTTGAATCTAGTTTTAGTCACCTCCGGGACATTTACTATAAATTTTGTTTTATTTTACAGCAAGATGTTGTCATTTTCAACCCTATACAAGAACGAGTAATACATGCCGTGACACAGTTCCAAGGACCACCTGTTAATCAATACGGTGTATTAATTCCACAAGGGTACCAGCAGCAACATTTCACGCCGAACACACATGTACAAATAATGACCCAGCAGTCTCCAGGTCATGTGTTGCCGCCAGGGATGCAAGGACCGCAAATTCAACATCATAACGGAATGGCAAACGTTAACTTAAGTCAGCAGCCAGCGTATATGCAGCCGACATTAGGATTACAACCAAATCAAGAGGTCGACAGTCAGCAGCAACATTAACATGTTTGACTAGCATAATAAAAACTATAGATTTCTTATTAATACTGAAATTGCTATTTATTTGGGGACATGTTACATTTTCATTTAACTTTTTACTATTTTGTTTTTACTTATATTCATACATGTACCTTAATATTTCATGCATACTATTTTTTAACAATGTTTAATGTAACAAAAAAATAATATCAACAGTTAATTAAATATATTGTTAGTTGTAATTATGGCACGAAGAAATAGTTCGTCAAACGTTCAGTTATATTTTTCACTGCTTTTTGGTCTTAAATACAAAATACGAACGATGTACAAAAACGTTAATTAGTTTTTTCGTCAAAACATTTCCGTTGACATTTGCTTTTTGATATTGTCTCCTTGTGTTTGACATATGTACAAGTATTCTTAATCAACTAAGATATTGACCATGCATTTTAATATCTGGTTGTCATCCTTTTACGCAGCACAACTGCATATATTGGTTTATATTCAAGCCTGTTTTTTTGCCGAATTGTTATGGATTTTAAGGTTCGAGAGCTGGTATGGTTGCAATTAAATACTCTGGCGATTAATAGACGGGCCATAAAAATAAACAACGCGGCAACATAAAATAGAAATAGTTTGTTAACCACATCAAAACTTGATTCCTTTCAGATATTTCTAGATTATTACACAGTATTTACGCTATGAGTCCTTGTGTCAATTCAAAACTTTCATACCGGATGAAGACTTTAGCAAATGGAAGACGCCATGTAAAGATTTATTTATCTCATATTAAGCCTATGAAATTTAAAACAGACAATGGAATAAACAGTTGAATGTAGACATCTAAGTTATTCATTTTGCTTGCCTTTTATTCGTTTTAGGTTTTACGTTCTGGAATATATGTTTTGTATTTCTAACGTTCCAATAGTTCCTCAAGAAATCACATGAGGCTTTCTCCGACAATCATCAAATATGTATTGTTTCTAGAAAGGACGTCAAATATATATTTTTTTCACGTGAGGGCAAATTTTGCTCCTTCATTGAAATTGCATGGGATGCCAATGTTGACTCGATTAAGGCCAGTTATTTTACCTGGGCAGATTAATGACTTAGGCAAATCTGTTTTTGACGTATTCTTTACTGAATGTTTTGTAAAAAAATATGTCGTAAAAAGTAATTCATAACAGATCTTTATTAGCTGTGTATTTTTCAAGTGTCATTCAAATGTGTCCTGAAATTTAACTGCCTACAAATGTTGACAAAGGTAACGCATGGTAACAGGTCTTATTCCGATTAAATGTTAAACCAATTGGTAGAGGGTTTCCGTTCGACAGTGAATACAATCGCAGCTACATCGGGTCAGAATTGAACAATAAATCAGGTACTGGGTGTAGAGAAAGTTGCCCCAGCTTTGGCAATTAACTCGGACGTTTTCAATGAATCTTAAAGGTGTCTGTAAATCCAGTATATTTTTTAGTGGCAGTCTTAATCAGCCGACCATCTCCAACATCCGCTCACTAACATGTTTAACCCCGCAACATTCTGTTTGTATATGCCTGACCCAAGTCAGGAGCCTGTAATTCAGTGGTTGTCGTTTTTTGCTATGTTACATATTTGTTTTTCGTTCATTATTTTATACATTAATTAGGCCGTTAGTTTTCTCGTTTGTTTTACATTTGTCATTTCCGGGCCTTTTATAGATGACAATGCGGTATGGGATTTGCTTATTGTTGGAGGCCGTACAGTGACCTATAGTTGTTAATGTCTCTCTTGTGAAGAGTTGTCTCATTGGCATTCATACCACGTCTTCTTGTTTTATATACAACTTGACTAGGTAATAAGCACATGTTTTAAAGCTTTACATACACTTTTTTTTAACCTGTTTGATAACGAAGTCAAACAAGAGCTAAACGAAGTTTTACCATTTTCGAGAAAAACAAAACTGATATTTATAAAGAGGAAATCCGGAAAAGCCAGGAATGTGTAAATAATGTTTTAAATGCATGTCGGTCTCATTGGAACTTATAGCACATCTTCTTATATTTATGTAACATAATGTTTGTATCTTACTATAAAAAAGCAGAAAAAGCACTTGCTCTGAAAAAATATGAAACAAGGTATTTGTATCAATTTTATAGACAATTAAAAAAAAGGCTGCCGAGTATTATTTCGAATGAGTTTGTTCATTTTTGACTATAACATTTTGTCTTTTACAAGGGTTTATATGGTTCTTAAAAGAATGAATAATCACAATCATAGTTTGAATCGCACTCATGTGGTGTAAAATTAGTCATGTATGAATCGTTATCACGTCAACATCTTTTCTCCATATATAATATTTATCTTGCTACTTGATCATGTTGATTGTTGAAAATAAAAATAATTGAATATATAAATTTTAAAGTTTTTGTTAATACTAACTACAGTTTTAGGTTTTGAGGAACTACACGGTAAAAACTGATGAGGAACTGTTAAACAAGTTTCAATAATGGAAACAATTATGAATTACTGAGGAAATATTAACATTTTGTACAAGGAAAAAAGAGGTGCATTTGTAACTAGTACTCTTTAACTATCTATTAATAAACACACAACGATATATTAAATAAAATAACATCAAATTTACATGTCAACAGAATTTGAAGTTATAAGTTATTCAAAATATAAAACACAATATCCTTTTCTGGATTTACAGGATTAAAAAAATCAATTGTCAAAACTAGCAATCTCTGCGATCAGGTAAGCATGTATATAATTTATTGTTTTCTTAAATTTACTGCCATATAGTTACAAAATGTAGATTATGTGTCTTGTATGGAACGTCACAGCTGTCTTATGTGGTACTCTGATATTACGTTATGTTGTTTTATTATTCCTTGATGATATTTTGTCTTTACATAATATGGTTTTGACATTACGTAATGATGTTATGATATAACTCAATATGATTTGATTTGTTTTGATTTTTGGTGTTTAAACGCCACTTTTAAGCACCGCTTTTGGGCTATTTCGTGGCGGCCAGTTTTTATTGGTGGAGGAAGCCGGAGTTCCCGGAGAATACAACCGACCTTCGATAGGAAGATTGGAGACGAGTGCACCCTCACGAGCGGGATTCGAACTCACAGCCTCAGTGTTGACTAGCTAGTGATTACAGTAGTAACTACTTAGACCACTCGGCCACCGAGGACCCCTTAACTGAATATGGAATTGTCATTACTTAATGATATTTCGATATTAAATGATATAGTTTCGTATTGACTTGATATAGTTTTGTCATTACTTAATATGGTTTTGTCATTTTTCGATGTGGTTTCACAATTATTTAATGTAAGCAATGTGGTTTTAACATCACTTGATGTGTATGTGGCTTAACGTAATGTAGTTATTTCATTACATGATATGGTTTTGTTATTTCGTAATGATGATTTGCCAATTCTTTATATGGCTTTAACATTAAGAGTTAGAATTCAAGGCATAATTAGAATTAAAGTTCGAGTTAGCATTGAGTTTCGTGTTTAACTTCGAGTTTGAGTCACATTTGAAGGCAGAGTTCGAGTTACAATTCGACTTTAACTTTGAATTTGAGTCACCTTTTGAGGTAGATTTCGAGTTAGACTTCGAGTAAGACTTCGAATTTGAGTCTGATTTAGATTAAGATTTCGAGTTGAAATACGAACTAAATGTTAGTTCGTATTTAAATTTTCTATTGATGATCGAGAGCTTTTACTCGGGCTTCCGAAAAGAGGGCTTAGGGGTATGCGCACAAAAAATAAACAATGTTACAGTATAATAAACACAACATAGAAATCGAAATAAAGTTAGAAGATGTGGTATGGTTGTCAATAAGACAACAATCCATGAGAGTTTAAATGCAGTATATGTAAGCCAGTATATGCAACCGTACGGCCTTCAATACACCGTATAGCCGGCTATAAAAGGCCACCACGTGAAAATGTTAAACAATTCAAACGAGAAAAGTAACGCCTAATTTATAATAAAACAATTTACGAAAAACAAATATGACAAACATAAACCAACGACTACCATTAGACTACAGTCTCCTGACTTAGGACAGGCACATAAAGAATTAAGCGGAGTTAAACATTTCAGTGAGCGCTCAGCCCAAACCCTAACCTGGGACAATAGTAAAACAGCACAACATAAGAAAAAACTGTAATAATCAGTTGCAATTGGTTTGATTCGATAGATCGGTATAACTGGCCAATATGAATTCATCAAAATCCGGGGGTGATCCCGGGTGCTCCGGAAGGGTAAACATATCCTGTTCAATGTGTGGCACCCGTCGTGTTATTCGTGATAGTAAAAACCGAGTGATATGTCTAATTCGGTTGGTCACATCCGAGAAAAAGGGGACGGGATTGTGTTAACTACAATTGGAACATATCCGTCGTCACCTGTGAAACAGATATTCCAATAAGTTTTTTTTTTCGATTAATGCGAGGTAAATCAGAGAATGCAATTTATAAAAATAAAATATTGATATTTGTATATGTTCAAATGATCATACACGCTAAAAAAATCGGAGTATTCTTATTTTAAAGAATTGTTACTTTGTCGCTTAGTCCGATCCCCCTGTTTCCCTTGTTGCAGTCAACATTACATTTTTAAACTGACAGCAACAATCTCAAGCGAGACAGAGGGTTCCGTGGTATTCTTCACGAATTAATTATAAGACTGCTTCCATTTGAGAGTTAAGTAGAAAAAAAAAACGACCGGACCAAGTGGTGTGAGGATATCCCCCTTATATCCGGAATATTAATATTTTTTTAATACTTTTTTTCTTATTTTTGTCTGCCGTTCCCCTTTTTCATACCAAATAACTCAAAACAACAAATCGAACTTTAATTTGACCTTTAACTCAATGGATAGCGACACTCATCCGAAGCACATTAAACATATGAAATCGGTTTAAAAATATAAATAGTTGTTCCCAAATGGTCACGTGGTTTTACCCCCATCAAGTAATGTGATAACCACATCAAAGAATGGAACAAACACATCATGCAGTGTGAAATCTTCCAATTTTGAAACATCATTATGTAATGTTAAAGCCATATAAAGAGTTGGCAAATCATCATTACGAAATAACAAAACCACATCATGTAATGAAACAACTACAAGATAATTCAATTAAAATATAATCATATATACATTACGTTAAGCCATATACACATCAAGTGACACAACCACATTAAATAATTGTGAAATATCGAGTAATGACAAAACCATATTAAGTAATGACAAAACTATATCAAGTCAATACAAAACCATTTCATGTAATATCGAAATATTATTAAGTAATGACTATTCCATATTGAGTTATATCATAACATCATTAAGTAATGTCAAAACCATGTTATGTAAAGACAAAATATCATCAAGTCATATAAAACAACATAACGTAATATCAGAGTACCACATAAGACAGCAGTGGCGTTCCAAAGTCTTGCGCCGAGGCTACGATGATGACATGATATAAATTGTAATTTGTATGCTCCTACTGCAGCGTACGTCCCAAATGTAGTTTCCGTTCTCTCAATTTAGTTTGCCTCAATCAACTGTTATGAAACTAATACACAATGCTTTTTACAATAAAACACAGATCAAGTTTGAATTTGGGTACCGTCAATTTTACAATTCTGGAATCTTATTCCTTTATAACGTTATATGCAGATGGTGGCATCATCCGTGTTTCATGGGCACATTCGCCATTAATCAATTACTATAGATTTCAGGTAAAATTCTCCGCAATATCTGCATTGAACAGCAAACATGTATTCTAGCTTTTGGGCTCGCTTGAAACTCGAGGTGATAAAGTCAGTATCAAAAAATAAAATGCCATCATTCCTTTTATACGCAATTTGTTTTTTACAATATTTGTTTTGGTTGAGAATATGAACTAAAAGGATTTTATTAGTATAACAACCTTTACGAGTATAAAACGTTGTGATAGTTGTTCGGGTGTATGAATGACGTCACGGATTAACTTAATCACGCCACGTTGTTGCACTGATATTTGACGTCATTGCCTTATATATTCTAATGTCAAGTCTTGTTCATGATCTTAACGAACATAAGGCAGTAAGATCAAAGGCGAAATAAAGAAATTTCCGATAATTATTCCAAACATATGAACAAACAGTATGGATAAAATAATTTTAGATCCAGATTAGTTTTGAAATGCCTATTCGTTGAAAACAAAACGTGGTTGCTGCTTTGATTTCTCTGTATGTACAATATCTAACGTTATGAATTCTTTTTAAGATTTTCATATTCTAATTCACGACGAAATCATGAGTTTCTTTCAAATTGGTAATATGTTTTAAGTTGGCAGATTATGAATCCATAGTTTTGAAACTCGAATATATGTTCTATGTTTCCGAAAAAGTACCTTTCCTATTTCTTCCAAAGTGGTCTGTAGACCTGCCAGTGGCAGTTAACCTTTTCGATTTGTTCTGGTTAATCCATTTTGTAAAACCAACCAATTTGTTCATATCCTGAATATATATGAAACATTAGCCACAATACAACAAACACAAAGTATGAAATTTAATCATATACTAGTAGATAAATATATATAGAAATATTTATATATTGCGATTATTGAAAATCATAAAATTTACTTTTTATAGATGACATCATTCTATCATTGAACCACTGTTTACAACATTCCCGATTAGGGTTCGACCATTGAATTCTGGTTGAGAGATTTTTTACAAACACACTATCACTGTTCACTTATTACTAATATCTCGAGCAATTTTTAATCTCAATTTTGACCTCTCCCCTCCCCCGGGTTCGTGTTATTCAGTTTTAGGTTTTTGAAGTACTGTTTTGTGATCTTTTCCTCGTATTTCGTTTTTTATCCCTTTGGCATTGTCAGTTTTTTTCGACGTAGGAGTTTTAAATGTCTCCTTGGTATCTTCCGCCTCTTTTTTTAGCAATATTCAATTAACCGCATTAATTTATAAACTAGTACATATACAATTAAAGTGTTTTATTATTGCCAACTATCCACCAATAATCACATGACGCAGACGTTTGAAATTATAAGTCACAGAATTGGGAACACTATTACCGTATAGTAAACAATAAAACAAAAACACCGACATCACAAAATGGAAAAGTGAAACTAATGGCATGATTATTGATAAAATGAAAACGGAAAACGGAACTGTATACTAGACAACAACAACAACTACTTCATTACAAACTATTGATGCTGGATTTGTTCCTGCTGATTGAAAACAAAACGAACATCATACCATCAACAAGGGAAATGTTGTGCTAATAACTGTGCCTTCACTTTAATTGAACTCAGCAG